CCAATCTTGTATCTCTCATCTCTCTCTCTCTCTCTCTCTCTCTCTCTCTCTCTCTCTCTCTCTCTCTCTCTCGCCGTAGCGGTATCTTCAGCGCAGCAGGTACGTGTAACCCAATCTTGTTTCTCTCATCTCTCTCTCTCTCTCTCTCTCTCTCTCTCTCTCTCTCTCTCTCTCTCTCTCTCGCCGTAGCGGTATCTTCAGCGCAGCAACATCCCGTGTGTTCTTCTTCTTTTTCTTTCCTTTTTTCCCCTTTTTTAACAACGAAATCTTGCTTCTCGTGGGTCTTCGACATACGGTGTGGCGCGGCCTTTGTGTCGAAACCGTGAATGTTGAAAATGGTCTGTCAGTGACAGCTGGCGAATATTTCACGGTTTCGACACTGGTGTGGCGAGGCCCTATGACGCAGCCATGATTGTTCTTTTTTCGTTTGTTTTGTGTTTTTGGGTGAGGCCCTATGACGCAGCCATGATTGTTCTTTTTTCGTTTGTTTTGTGTTTTTGGCCTACAGTCTTCACCCGAATACAACGTACTGACATTATAGACTGAGCTGTATTTGGGGCAACTTTGCGTCTAGATACAGTGATAATGACCGTACGTTGTATTTGGGTGAAGACTGTAGCATACGATCCAATGTACTGACAATTTGCTAATCCACTGACCAGTGACCTCGAATATGTAGCCGAGGCTCTTTCGAAGGCACTGCTGTTCCTAAATGCATGTGGTGAGATCAACAGAAGTACATAAAAATTAATGAAATTGAAAGTTGATTAGAAAAACAACAAGTTTATTAGGCCCGAGTAGGACGTACTCACACTCCTCTAGTTTCTCATCTGACTCCTCCGCACCTTGCACTTCCAGGTGTCTGGCCTAAGATCTTAATATACTCCATGGTGATGTGTGTTTTGCTATCGTGGTGATGCTTCCATCTTGCCACAACAGAATATAGTCCCTGGGACCTGGGCCCCTGAGCTGGCCTTTTGAGGGGAGGGATGCTTCCCCACTGGACCCCACAAATGCATGTGTGTTTTGCTATGAATCTATGATCATGGTGATGGTTCCATTTTGCAAGAACACTATACATTACCTGCCCGTAAAATGGTACTACAGATAGTACAGAATGCTAAGCAAAATATAATGATAATTGAATAATCACAAAGGGTTTGCAGAATCTCATGACCGCTTCATGTGAGAGAGAAAATGATGAACCGAAAATCCAATGAAATTGAATGAACATAAAGACACAAGCCGCGGCTGGTCGGTTCAATGATGATATCTCAAGGCTGTTGCCCTTTTCTTTCGAAATTTCTTTCGAAAAGGACAGAAAGTAGTTCAAGGTATGATATTAAATATTGGTCGACTAAGTTCAAGTTGACGCTTTCCAACCTATCATGGGTAATCTCCTCACAACTGGAGGGGCCCACCACAGGGGCACAAAATCATCCTAAGAGGCTAAGAGCACATGACCTTTTGGAAAACTGTTTGCAAAGAAGCACAGGGACATTGCAAATTGAAAAAGGGAAAAAAGGACATCATTCTACCTTCCAAGGCTTCTGAGCCTCCATGTGGGCAGTTTCATTGTTGCCTGCACGGGACACTACCGGCCCAGGTCTGAAGCGATATGATCTTACAGCATACAGTGGTAAGACTCCGACTTTGCTTCGCACGAACTGGTGTTTTTAATACGCAAATGCCAGAAAAGGAGAGTTACACAGGCAGAGAATGACTGTGTGTGTGTTCTAAGTTTCCACCACAACAGCCCCTATTCCACCTAGAGAATGACTCTGTTTGTGTGTGTGTGTGTGTGTGTGTGTGTGTGTGTGTGTGTGTGTGTGTGTGTGTGTGTGTG